TGCAGCTTAAGCAGCACTTTTAGAGACTAGGACACTGAAGAAGCCTCATTCCACCAGGGAAATGTGGAGGAGGGGTAGTTCAGCCCCTTAAATCCTACTCTAAGGAGACCTCATGTCTCTCAAAGGGTGCAGCTGAGGCTCTATCTGATTCTGGTACTGACCAACGAAGCAGTGTGCAAAGAACTCTTCTAATAGACAGCACAGGGAGCCTTCTTCCTCGGTACAGACTGACACGTCTTGGCACCAAGATGCACCTGGCCCTTCTACTCAGGCTTCGATACCATCACCTTCTCTGCACAGAGCTCTGAGATCAGAGCATGGTTCCTAGATGGTTCTCAAGCATGGAGCTAACCTGATTGGATAAGGTCCAATCAACCTAGCAGAAAACCTAGTACTCGCAAATACCTTCAAAAGTAAAATGCGTCCATTCCTGGTGTTCTCTTGAGAACTTCTGATGCTTAAGAAGAGTGCTCTCCCACGATCCTAGTGTGACGGGGTGCCAGGGGAGCCACACTGAGGTTGCTCAATTAGGGAAAACTGCAAAGAATGGGGCAGACAATCCCCAAAGCTGATATTCCAATACTTAGATTTACCAAACCTGCTCAAAAAAGCTTCTACAGTGCTTTACTGGTTGCACAGAAGCCAAAACACAGTTCTCTTAAAGCAACCCAGCCGTGGGCTTCCACCCAGACAGCCGAGTCAAATATTAAAGTTCTACCAATCCCAAAGGATCGGACACATCACCTCCCAAGTTAATGAATATTTCAGATCTTACCCAAAAGGCCAATCCTTATTAACTAAACTAACATTTATTAAAAAAGAAAAGAGAGTGAGTATTGGTTAAAAGATCAATATACACACAGACATGAGTACAGTTCTGAGATCAGTTTCATAGGAGAGAGAGTGAACTTTGGCGTTAGAAAGAGTTCTTAGAATTAGTCCATAGATTCAGTCCACTATTCATATCCAGGATGATCCAGCTGGGACTGGAGATCTCGGCCTTACAACTTGAACTTCCCCTGCATAAAGCACCAAGCAGATCTGAGATAAAAAGGATCAGGACCTAAGCATCACCGGTAATTAGCTACACAGATTAACATAAGGCAATTGCCTTATATGCTTCAGTGAGAAATCACTATGCTGATATCACTATATTTACAGTTCATGTAAATGTTAAGATCTCTGAATTAGCAGAATACAGCATAGACAGGAACAGCAAACCGCGGCCACTGGGAGCCGCGATCGGCCGAACCAGCAGACGCAGCAGGTACACAAACCGGCCCAGCCCGCCAGGGGCTTTCCCTGCACAAGCGGCGGAACAAGTTTGGGAACCACTGTGTTAGAGGCTGACAATGTAAAGACTGCAGGATGCTTAACCCTTTCTGGCCATCTGGCACCCCTAGACTGCCTGTTGGATTTAAAGACAATGCGCTCAGTCAGAGTACATTTGGCCGCTATCACACCTTCCCATTTAGGGCTTGTTGGTTGTTGCCCACACTCCTACAGCCAAGTTGCTGAGAGGTTTACACAACTTATTTTCTCCCTGTATAGAATCCAGCCCAACTGAGACTTTAATGTGGGTCTCAGTGCCCTGAGGAACTCTCCCATCACCTTTGAACTGATGGCTTTCCATTCTTTCCACCACCTCTCCCTCAAGAGTTCATTCCTTATAGCCATCACTTGGCTAGATGAATGGGCACACTGAGTGCTCTTAGGGTATACCTGCCATTTACTATCTTCTGTAGAGAGAGGATTTCACTGTGTCCCCATCCTTGCTTCCTGCTTAAGGTCTCTTTGGAAACCATATTAATCACACAAGCTACCTACCAGTGAACTATCCCAAAGCCTCATGCCACCAGATAGGAAACCAGCCTACCTACACTAGATGATAGAAGGGCTCTCAGCTGCTACCTTGTCAGTACTAAGACCTTCTGGGTCTCTCCTAGATCATTTGCAGAGAGGATGAAGGGACAACCTATTTCGACTCAAAGACCATCAAAGTGAGTTTTGGGTTGCCTTTTAACCTGTTATGAATCTGCTGGAAGGCAGGCTCGCCCTCCCCTCCCCAAGGACCAGCATATTCAACTAGCACTCAGTCCACAGCTATAGTACTACTAAAAGATGTCCCAATAGCAGAAACCTGTAGGACTGCAACTTCGTCTTCCATTCACATTTGCCAAGCATTATGCCATTTTACCTGCTGCTACACTCCTCTGAACAGTCTTGCCTCCTTGAGATGTTTTGTCCCTGTGAGTGCACCACTGCCTGCCCCTCAGCTCTGCTGCTCACGTGAGCAAGCATAGCTTGGGGGTGGGGCCATGCCTCCTCTTGTTTAGTGTTGCAGAAACTGCTTTGCATTCTTCGGTTGTGCATGCATGGGTGACTCTTACAGGTGTGCGCCCATAGGGATAAAACATCTTGAACGCTAACGTCACCTGACAATAGCAAAAAGCTCAGTCTTTATATACTAAGGAAGAAAATTCAGACCGGTACAGCTCTCACTAGAACAAATTTATCCTGAGACAGACTCAGGAAATTGTATGTTGAAACGTCATCCAAGGCTGTATCAGATGATTCTCTTGAATGGTGGGCTGAGAAACACAGGAAGGGTTGGAGCTTCCTAAAGTTCTTTTTAACCATATTCTAGAAAATGGATTGGCACTAACAGTACAGAAAAAAAAAAAAGGCAGGGGTAGGGAGAGAAGAGACCGGAGTTTAGTTCTGTGCCTTTTACATTGCTAGCGAGACTAATACGCATAGCTGTTCCTTTTTTTAAAAGGTAATTTCAATGTGACTGCAGTGTTGCTAGAATACACACGAGAGGAGAGAAAGTGAGCTTTGCCTCAGGCCAGTCAACAACTTTGTACAAGAGAGGGAAAACAGCAATACCATAGAACAGGGATACTTAATTATTTTTTTGTCTACAAAACCACCACCACTAATGATACTGTCCAGTCAAAAGCGACAGGCAGTCTGCATTTGGCCCGTGGTCTGCTTATTGACTATCCCTGCCATAGACGATGACAAATTCAGCCCAATTCTAGGTCACTTCAGCAATAATAAGCAGTATTTCCTCTTACTAAGCTGCAGATTGATTTTTTGTAATGAAGAGGTTGTGTTTACATATATAAGGCAATGAAAAAATAGGTAATACTGTAACATTCAATACTCTGATACAAGACGTGCACTACTGTAACTGAAGATTAAAAAAATATGGGGCTGCAGTGTTCGCAATGCAGGTGCCTATGACAATCTTTCCAATGACTTCAATAAAATTTGCATTGCCTTTTGACCAGTGACATTACACTAAGGCTGAACTAACCCCACTGGTGGGGCATTGTGGCACATTCTGAATACTTTGGTCAGCTTTAGTCATATCCTGTTCGCTGGTTTGTCTGCAAGCTGTTTTTTGTTTACATGGAGGCTTATTTGTATGCATGAGACAAAATTCAGTAGCTAACCTGTTTCTCAGTGCATTGAAATCTTCAGCTCACAGTACCAAATAGTAATTTGTATCCCGGGTTTTCCAACTTTCATTTTCCATTTAAGCTTCATACAAAATCTAAAATAGCTTAAAACCTTCAGCATACAAGTTACTTTTAGTGTGCAACGCAGTGTGAACAATTAGTTATACAGGAAAATGATAGTATGTTTAGTGCTGCAACAAACACTCTAGGATCTGCTCTTAGACCAGAATGTACAATATAGGCAACATTCTGCTTTGCTACTATCTCACAGTTGATTCTTCAACTTATTAAATATACAAACCCCTCTCTCTCGGTACAGACTAGTTTGTGAGGCATGATTAATGTTCTGACAAGTTATTTAATTATCCTACACTGCCACTCATAGATGTGACAGTTACACTTTGCAAAGAAAACACAGTAAAGGGTGAGACATTTTAAAGATAATTTACACAGAGATAAGGCTGCTGGGCCTTTTGTGACAGTTTGTTATATTTAAACCACATGTCTAAGCATCAGTAATTTTGCTGGAGTTATCCTTAGAGGACGATTGGAGCTGTGTTGGATCTTTAGCTCAAACAGGTTGGAGGAAAAATATTTGGTTGAACTGCAGTAAGCAAAACAGCTTAACGGAAGAGATGTTGGTTGATGGCATTACAAGAAGGAAATGGAACTGATTGGTTCTCCAGGTTTTCAGGTAAAACAAGGAGAAGACTTGAGGGGAAAAAAAAAATCCTTACCCCAAACAAAAACTGTGGTGTTCTTTATAAAGTATAGAAAGCAGGAAAAAAAAAAAAAAGAGAGAAAGGCATAAGTTAGTCCCCCCTGCATCCCTTTGCAGGTCATTTTTAAGGATCTTCCCTCAGCAAACAGAGAATTCACTGTAGCTTAAGTCTGTTTTCAGTATTTCCAGTGTTAAAATGCCCATTTCTTAATGGCCAGCTTATCCCCACAGGTCCCATTTCATTAGGTAAGGAAACCTCCTTGGATGCAGAAAGATTACTTTATTTGAAGGTGACAAGTCTCGCTCCCTGTTTTTTACTACACCTATTTTTAAAGCACATTAGCTTAATGGTGTCATTTCTCCCTTATCACAGAATCCACTAAATCTAAATCCAAAACTAACATTGCTAGGAATCAAATATGCCAGTGAATTTTTAATTTTAGCCTATGAGGAGTTAAGTCAGGTAGTGTTAATTTGAGCCAAAAATGTCTAGTTGTAGGAGTTTTCAATTATGTTCCCCAATGTACCACTTCAGAGAAAAAACAGCTGAATCTATATATCCTAGTTAGATAATTCATTTTTAAAAAGACATCAGTACATAACCAAATTAAACTTATGGCTATGGGAATACAAAAGATTGGTTCCTAAACAAATTTTGCTATATTTGACAAATCAACATTGAATTCTCGCTAGTGATGTATGATTAACAGGACATTTGCTGTTTGTGAACCATTAAGAAAAAACACCACTGGAAAGAAGTGAAATATTTCATGTTTGAAGGGATTGGTATTTCTTCTTGACTTTTGCAGTGTTTGGCTGCTGTCAAATCTAAAGGAAAACAAAGTCATTTATTTAAAAAAAGAGCTCTTCACAGATTCTTCTTGTGTCCTCTGGTGATGTGACACTGTGGCCTACTGTTCGGGAGTCTGTGTAGATTTCATAATCATTTCCACCCTGTGAACAAGAGAGACAAGTAAGTCAGCTGCCTTCTTCACAGTACACATGCATGCCTGCTTACATACATTAAGGAAATTGTGTGTGTTGGGTGGATGTCAATGGTTTTCAAACTCAAAGGGAGCAACCGTCCACTAAAAAGGTTGCTGGAGAGCCAGATTGTGCAGCACATAAACCACACACAGGTTAGGCTTAACCAGCATTTGAATTGTTGTTTACTGTGATAGTAACTTAACACATTTGTAACTTAAGGTACTCACCAAACAGTGTATAAAATAGAAAAATACTAAACGACTGGAACAGTATGCTAAAAGCTGATTTATATATAGATGACTAGACGGTGTACTAAAGTCAATCTGTCACTTACTGGTCAATATGCTCAGAGTAGCTTTTGATTATTTTCTTAGAAAAATCTCTCTAGTGTACCATTTAATAAATTCAGTGACCTTCAAAGATGGGAATAATTAAAGATATACTAAAGTCACTTTTAAAAAGCCTGAGCTAAATAGTACAAACCTTTAGGCCAGGTCTAACACTACAAAGTTTTGTTGGTCAGATGTTTTTAAGGTCAGGCTTGACAAAGCCCTGGCTGGGATGATTTAGTTGGGAATTGGTCCTGCTTTGAGCAGGGGGTTGGACTAGATGACCTCCTGAGGTCCCTTCCAACCCTGAGATTCTATGATTCTGTGTGTGCCAACAGGCCTGCAAAATCCCCATGTATATGCTGCCATAAAACCTGTCAGCATATGCTGTGTCTACACAAGGGAGATTAGTCCTTCAGATTTTACTGGCCCAATTGGACACACACAAGTAACTTACTTATACAGCAAATAGGAAGCTTGTCTGTAAAATGCCGACTGTACAGTTGATAAGAGTGACAAATCACAACTGAGTTATGCAGGTTATTTCCAACTTGTGCTAATAAACTTTTATCCCGTCCCACATCTTGTAATTTCCCTATCACATTTTACAGAAAACTATTTTAGATTTTTTGTTTTAATAAAAGGTGCTTTTTTTATCAGGCTGTCTTACTATTGTGAGTGTACAGATCTCACCGTTACAGATAGATGAATGCTAATCTTTAAAGCCTCTTTATTTAAACATCTCGATTCATAAAAAAAACTCCACCCTCTTCAGCCCTAGAAAGATGCTTAATACCTTCCGATGGAGGGGCTGTGAAAAGGCTGGTGTGCAGGGGCAGGGTTTTCCCCCACAATTTGATGTTGGGAGGGAGATGGATCAGGCACTCTGCCAGCTACACAACTCAGCTGTGCAAGGGGACAGGGGCCTTACTCCTTCATATTCCCCTGTGTGTGACCACAATAGATTTTAGTATCAAGTGGTTTTTAAAAATCTAACCATGTGGATGCCTCTTCAATGTGATCTGTAAAAGATGGGTTGGAAACAGAGGCAGAGGTTACATTAGTATTTCCAACATATGATTTTTCAGAAGCCAATGCAAGTCCTTGTTTTCATGGTGTGAACTAACTGTCTATGTGGACCCTGCTGGTGTGCACTAGGAGCTTTTAGTGCATGTTAGCAGGGTGCACAGGTGCACCTTGTAGACAAGCTAGGTAACTGCAGCTAGCGTGTTCTGTGCAGTCTTATTTAAAATCACTCCAACAGCACAGCTGTACAGTTCAGTAACAGTACATTTGGAAGAGAGTTCTTGTGGTTTTGAGTCTGCACAGCACAAGCTGTTCTGACCGAACGGTGATGCTGAATTAGTCTAATCCAGTGGTTCTCAAACTTTTTGTACTGGTGACCCCTTTCACACAGCAAGCCTCTGAGTGTGACCGCCATCCCCCTTATTAATTAGGTTGTAAAGCAGTGACCCCTATCCCCCTTATTAATGAGGTTGTAAAGCAGGAGCCCAGGCAGAAGAACCCACTTTCAGTGTGTAACATGCCAGAGGCCCTTTGAGCTAGATAATTTTTCTTGTTTTACACTGAATGGGTTAGAGCTCATGTCTAGTACAACTTTTATAAAGGTAGGGGGAGAGATATTTTATTCTGTCAAATGGCTAAACAGGAATTGGCTTAAATATTTTTGAGGAAGAAAATGCAGGGTATTAAATGGAGGTAAAAAAGTTCAGCAATGTGAGGAGGTGCCAATCCCACAAATGGGAGTATGCAGAGGCAAAACTCTTGAACAGTGTCAATTTGCAGTAAGTAACCCCTCTCTCATAGTAATACTAGAGAGAAAAGCCATTCTTATTTTACCAGCTTGGGGACAAAGCCTTCTCTCCTTTGCTCTGTTTGGGTACAAGTTAACTGTCTCAAATAATACAGTGAAACAGTTTTTATGGACACTTACACCTAGATGTAATAAATACAAAGTTTTCATCTGGCTCTTTTATGAACTTCAAAATGGAGTTCTGTTCCTTCGCCGTTCTCTCCAGCAAAGGGTCTGATCTGAAACTTACTGAAATCAAGGGATTCTAACTGGATAATTTACTAGATTTTCTAATCCTTTTGCTCATGTGCGCAGAAACAACTCTGGTGAGTTAAGAATTGCTACATAGGAAGCTCACTGTAGTAGATTAAAAAAAACCAACACAAAACTTCAGAGAATATTCATCAGTATAGTTTAAAATAGAGTCTAATTTGGGGCAGACATCGATTTGCCCCAAGAAAAGAATAGTTTTAAAAGCTCTTTGCTAGCAGAACACACAGTAATGAAAACACCAGATACAAGATTTTTCCTTTTAAATTTTCTGGACTGAAATTTATTAACTCGATTTAGTAGTTTCTACACTCTGCATTTTCATCCTCAAAACAAAAATATTTAAGACGATTTCTGTTTAGCCATGGCAGAATAATTTTGCAAAATCCTAGACGTAAATTGAAATCTTTCCATACTGTGATTTCGAGGTTAGGTGACATTTCACATTATAGCCCAAGAGGCAGGCAGATGCAAGCACCTTAGAAACATCTCACTTCTGAACTGATTATGAACTGCAGTAGTTTTAAAGAAAATGTATCATAAAATTTGATTAGGAATATTTTCAAGGAATATTTTGAAAGGGCATTCTGAAAATACACTAATGTTATGGAAATATTTCAATAGTAAATGCTGGAGCTGTTTTCATATCACTGAATGTCATTACTTAGACCAGAAGAAAATCTGTTTTCAAATGGAAGGTTTAATATATTTTAATCTAAAGTGAAATGTTAATAAGAGTGTTTTTAGGTCAAACACTTCCATGGTATTAAAATATGTTCTTGCTGAATAACTATACTGGAAAATCTTTGTTCTTAAGTATACAGCCATCAAGGTAAATGGTCAGTGTAGCTGGTTATGCCTTGTACATGTGTGTCAATTACAAACCCATGTCAAAAACAGAATGGAAATAAATCATTTAGTCTGGAGAAGGATTCAGAATAGGTCACCAAGTTCTCACCTATAGATTTCACCACAATATGTTATAGCCTTGAGTACAGAGCACTGGTGTTGATCATTAACATTTACCTCTTTTATTTATATAGGGAGGGAAATATGTTTGACAAAAGATTAAAGCCATAGCGTGGATTCAGTCTCTAATGTAATTGATTAAAAAGTCCTGTTTATGGAGCTTTCAATTTGAAAAAGAGATTCTAAATGTATATGCAGAAATAGTGCAGTACTCACTGGCATGGTCTTATCTCCAAAGAAATAGATAGTCTTGTATCCATCGTTGCAGGCAATTCCTAAGCAGTATGTCTTATCCCAGCCATTTGGAAATACATCAAAGCTTATCTGCCCCCCTAAGGAAAAGGTAGACAAGAGGCAAGTGTTAAGGGGCGGGGGGAAGGAATTCTATTTTTATGAAGGGAGAATGATGGAGGCTGAACTCCACTGAAGCAGATTCTGATAGAGGAAAGTGAACACGTCCGAGACAAAAACTACAATGAAATGGAGTTAAGGCTCAGAGAACACATCAAGACTTAGTGTAAAACACATTACAGGGATGTTACAATTGTTACCAACCCAAGTGTTCTACACTCAGGATATTCAGATGTTTAAATTTAAAAGAAATCCAAACATCTTTGGTACACCCAAACAAACCAAACTCTGGCCTATAGCAACAGGCTGCAAGAGCACAGGATTTTGATTAAGGCATGTTAGTGTTTGTGGTCCCACATTAAACTGATTTTTAAAGGTTTAGATTTCTTCCTGTCCATGGTATCATGCATCTACTAGGACCAAACTTCAATTCAGACAGCTCTCAAAAAAATTAAAAATAAATGTTTAAAGTTCAAGTGCCTGTTTCTGAGTGAAAGCAGATCATGCCACACCCTTGTTCTACACAGCAGAAAGGGTGGCAGGCTTGGCAGATTCAGACATTGAAGAAAAAGGTAAGTGAAGCCTTTACTCCATTGGTCCCTTCTTCCAAGCCTGTAGAAGCTTCTCAGGCTTGTCTACACTTAAAACGCTGCAGAGCTGCTGCGCTTCAGTATAGACACTACCTATGCCGACAGAAGGGATTCTCCCATCGGCATAGGTAATCCACCTTTCCAAGAGGCAGTAGCTAGGTTGATGGAAGAATTCTGTGTAATGCTGTCTACACAGGGACTTAGGTAGGCTTAACTACATCACTCAGAGGTGTGGATTTTTTACACCCTGACCGATGTAGTTAAATCAACCTAATTTTCTAGTGTAGACCAGGCCTCAGTGGGAATCAAGCTCTACAAGTGTGTCTGAATATGGGCTAGGGGTGTGTCAGCTACTCTCCCTGACACCAACTTTGCAACCAACACAGCAGAAAATGAGTGTTTTTGTATTAATGAGGACTGTCAGGTTATCTCTTTATGCTTTGAACCAATTCATTCTGAATGGAGCCAATGCCAGAATCCCCATCACCTCTACAAAAACAATGACCATTTTCAGGGACACCACATATCAGGGACTGTATGATGCTGAGTATAAATGTTTATGCTTGAGAACTTATAGATATACAATTAAACTCATCCATTGAGATAATCCCTCAGCACTAGAAGGAACCTACATGACTCAGTGCATACCATCTTCTGGAAAGATGCTCTCAAACACAAGTAAGATTTTCAGGTAAGAATTCCAATCACTGAGAAACAAATCCATTTGAATAGCCGGTGTGGAGTGCACACGACCTGCTCTTACTCCTTTTCTCTATGTTCCAATGGAATATACAACATTGTGGATGAGTTCCTGGTTCTTGGAGTATGACTGTGTTTACACTGTAAGATTTCATAAGAGTTTTGAAATAGGCAAAAAGGAGGAAGTCAAACTTTTTAAAGGCTTGTCTAAACTGGCACTTTACAGCGCTGCAACTTTCTCACTCGGGTGTGAAAAAACACCCCCCATGAGCGCAGCAAGTTTCAGCGCTGTAAAGAGCCAGTGTAAGCAGTGCACCAGTGCTGGAAGCCGTGTTCCCAGTGCTGGTAGCTACGCCTCTCATGGAGGTGGGTTTTTTTAGACTGCTGGGCGAGCTCTCTCCCAGCGTTCTGCCGTGACTACACAAGCCATGTTAAAGCGCTGCCACGGCAGTGCTTTTGCATTGCCAGTGTAGACTAGTCCTAAGATAGTGGTCTTATAAAGCAAAGCTTTTCACTCTATTACGGTGATCTTTGAGTTGCTACTTTTATTCTAAACCTATATTTTTCCAAGGGATTTTTAATAATGTCAAGCTTAACACTGGGCTGAAATTTGACCCAAAGTCTCAAACAGGAGGATTTTCTTGATATTTTAAAAATGTTTTGCTCAGTTTAAGTGGATGTCATCATAGAGGACTGTTCATGGCAAGCCCTGTTTGAAACTCATTTTGCCCCAAATGTTTAACACAGCCGGAGGTAGAGACAGACAACCATTTGTTCTTTCTACTGTAAATGAAAGAGAAAGTGGAGAATTTGCCCAGAGATTTTCAGTAGGAAAAAATAGGAAAGAGAAGCCTAGAAAGACACATTCTTACTGTGCAGAATCACTGTGCATCTTGTGTCTCCTGTTGAATTTCCTTTCTGTCTCACCCCCCCCCGCTCCCCACACACACACACACACAATACAACCACTGAAATTAAAAGTCAAGGGCTAGTAATGGAAGCAGTGTTAATGCAGTAAGTATTTGTAATGTACGTGGTGGGCAGAAGCAGCATCTCTCATTTGTAAAAATGTATTACACATTTCTGACTAATCAAGCAAAATCACTGTATGAGAGACATCGGAAGATAATGAACTAATGAAAAGAGATGCAGTTTTCCTTTTGTTGTGGTGTCTTCTACCACAAAGTACCTAACGAAACAGACTTCATGTACAAAATGGCAGCAGCCACCCCCACCCTGACAACTGAATCATACAGCAGGAGCAATCTGGCAAGAGGGTATGATTTTTTTTAAATGAAATTCTTTTTTTAAAAAAAAAGTGATACCTATAGAAAATGTGAGGCCTTTTCCTGCAAATTCTCTTTGTAAATCAGCTACAAATTTCTCTCTTATATGTTCCCTCTGTTAAAAACAAAAACAAAGACGGATCAGTTAAGTGATTTCTATTTAGCAATCAGTATCAGAAAAGGCAATATTAAGCAGGGAACTGCGGTTCTAGCTAGCTGCTCCCAAGTCCACGAATGCAATGGTGCAGTACTAGTATTTTAGAGCTAAGTTCTGCTCAGCATACACCTGTGTAGTCTGGAGCATCTCCATGGGGCTACTATGACATTACACGAGTGTACAGTAAATGCGAACAGAATTTGATCTATACCATGTTATTTTTCACTTCCATCTGAGGATCTCAATGTATTTTACATACTAATGAATTACAAATTAATGAATTATGTATTATACCCTTGATGAAAAGCTCAATTTCACAGATGGGGAAACTGAGGCACTGTGAGGTTAAGACCAAATTTTCAAAAGTGGTCTCTAATTTTGGGTGCCTTACACTTTTGGGCCTGAGACACACTGAAAATCAAACCCTAGTTGTCTAACAGTTAGGCATCCAGTAACTGAGGTACTCTAAGTTAGAGACATTGTTTGAAATCTTGGGTCTTGGTGACATGCCCATGGTCACAAAAGAAGTCTGAGACAATATAGGAAACAGAGCCCAGATTTCTCAATTCCCAGTCTTATGCGTTTAGGCACAAAACTGTCTCTGCCCTGGTAAACATAACTGTATTTTAAAGAAGGCTAATGCTGAGTAGTTTAAGCCTCAAGTTTAGGTTTTGTTTAAAAAGTATTAGAGAAGGTAATAAGAAAATTTTTTTACTTTCATTAATTTTCAACGAACATAAAAGCTACTAGTGATCGGTACTATAAAAAACCCAAGATACACTGACAGATGAGGGTTTTTTGGAAGGATTGGTGCAGGGTGAGAAGGAAGGGAGATTTATAGTGTTGGAAATGCCTCACAACAGCATTGTGCTAGAGCACCAGAAAGAGAAAGTGAAATTAGCTAATCTGTTTTTTACATTTCCTGCAGTTTGAACAATGAAACTCAACCAATGGCAGGGAGAAAGGTGTTAAACACAAGAAGGGGAGTTTTCAAAAATATAGTTTGACCATGACAGTGTCCTTTAGAACAGTGAGGAATAAGAGATGTAAACCATTTTAAAAATTGACTCACTTTATCAAGTTCATAGAACTCGATTCGCTCTTCCTGGCTGCAGCTTCTCCCAACAGGGCAGACATTCAGCATCCCATTTCGGAACTCAATAAAAGTACCCCTGAAAAAAAGAGTCAACTGTCACTGCTGAAAAGGGACACAAGTCCACATATATCTGAAAGACAAAAACAGTTATGATCAGATTGTTGAATCTCAAGAACTTCTGCTCTATTACTGAGATCTCCAAAAATGGCATTATGTGATGAAAATATTACAGTTTAAAGGAATTGTGTTTGCCCATTACATTAGTGATAGTTGAGGAAAACACGTAAATTTGCATTTCAAATTGCAAAATGTAATTACCCAAGTAGAAATTTGCTTAGGACGTCAGAGTAAATATGATTACTACATATCCTGCACATTGTTGATAAAAACAGTTATAAGTGCTCAAGACCTTGTGGGTCAGATGCTCAGCCCCATTCCTCTTCCTTTGTGTAAGCAGCCAGAAACCCAGTAGGATTCGATTCCCCTGGCGTGGAGGAATCTGCTTGGTGCAAAGCCCCTACACTACCTGTGCTAATCTCTGGTATAGAAGACACTCCCAGTGAAAAGGATGCATGACGGAAGCACCCCTTCAGTCTAGTAATCGCTCCTTGGCTGCTGGGTCAGCTCTCCTGAGCCTGTGGCTGGACAGAACTGAAAGCAACCTTAGGACAGTTCTTAGCCAGCCCCAATATTGGGGAGCTGCCAGGGTAGCTTAAACCTATCTTTCACACTCCTTGTCCTAACTGTATGGAGCAAAGGATCTAGCTCAGCATCTCCAGCAGCTGCATTCCCAAGTACGGTGCAGGGCAACTGCTCTCAAATTTTAGAAGAAAACTTGCAAACTTATAATTTATGGAAGCAATAATGCCTTTGAATTCCAAGTATCAGTAGGGTAGCCGTGTTAGTCTGGATTTGTAAAAAGCAACAAAGAGTCCTGTGGCACCTTATAGACTAACAGATGTACTGGAGCATAAGCTTTCGTGGATGAATACCCACTTCGTCAGACGCATGTAACGCGTCTCACGAAGTAGGTATTCACCCACGAAAGCTTATGCTCCAATACATCTGTTAGTCTATAAGGTGCCACAGGACTCTTCGTTGCTTTTTGAATTCCAACTGCATCAAGAAAATTCCTTTTACACCAACTTTAATTTTCCCTCCCTGGGAAATGAAAATAGGAGGTATCCCAATCAGCACCCAATGTTCTGTCTTTCTAGATTTTTATAGAACAATTTGTTCTATGGGGAATAAGTAATTCCCTGTTCCTTGGCAAGCAACTTTGGACAATCTTTTCTTTTGATCCTTCTTCACCTGCTCCAATAGCAGAACTTGTCTTCCTATGAATGGGATTGCTGGAACAATAATATATATCTATCTCAATTATACAGTGTGCCCTCAAACACAACCATCCAGCTCTAAGTGGACTGGACATTGTCTTCCTATTGATGCTCAACATCCCAAAAGTGGGAATATCCTCTCCCCTACGAGGTACATGCGCATATACCTACCTTTTCTTTGGTAGTTTAATCTTTGCAATGTAACTCAGACAATAGTTGATTAGATCTTGGAGCAGGTCCTCACCCAGGTGACTTTGAATGCTCTAAACATACAAAAAGACCTATCAGCTATAGGTCCAGAATTCAAGGTTCTGAAAGTAGCTAATTGACAACACAGGTTTTGGATATTCATGTATAGCAGATCCCAGAAAAACATGCCTTAGATAAGTGATTCTCCGTTAGTATGTGTGCAGCACTGGTATGGTAGGCTCCCATTCTCTACCTTAATTATATACTGCTGTGCTGGGCAACTGATCATCTCTCCTTATAACATGCTCCTCCAAGCTCCTACTTCAAACTGTGGGTTAGAAAATGCAGGATTGAATGGAAAGGGGCAGACAGTGGCGAGTACAGTGTGAGATACCACTGTCTTAGATATCAATCTGGGTCCTGAGCTATTTTATTTTCCATTCTGCAATAGCTAGATTGAGACACTTAAGATTATCACAATATTAGATTTAATCAACAGTATTTTCTCATCCACTTACAGTATTTCTTGCAGTGATTACACTAATCAATCAAGAGTTCACTTTATGAGCTAGATCCTAAGCAGCAGCCAGGATACACTGCACTCATTTGGAGGGTGGTGAGGGAAAGAAGATGAAAGCCACCTTTCCAGCTTCCCAATTCTCAGGCCTGTCAGGGATCAGATATCATTTAGATTAGCCTCAAAGTTGCTCTAAATGAGGCCCAATTGCCATGGAAATTCTATGAGCTGGGATCACTAGAGGGTTCCAGCTAGGATCCCTATGCCAGCGGCTAGGAGAGATGTCACTCAAGAATTTCCCATGCTGGAAAAATTCTCATCTAACCAAATCTACCAGGTTTTGAGCAGCACAAAACAGGAAGTTTGAGGCAAGGATCTGGCCCCATACCTTGTGTCAGTCTACAAAGAGCAAAATGAACAGTCAATTATACAAATAAAAGACAACATATAAAATAATTTCAGATTTTATTAAAAAATGATCACTAAAACTGCATACATACCTGCTTGCACAAAAATTTCCCATCTTTGTATGATACAAGACCATTTTCTGGAAAGACGTAGTCAAATTTTTCAACCACTAAAATACAAACAAAAAAGTGCTGCGGCTTATACATTGTCTTTCCTCATACTTTATAGTATGCAAACCCTTTCAAGTCAAAATACAGTAGTTTTTAGAATATTAAGCACAAAAGTTACACACTTGTAATGTCCAGTGAGAGACTCTAAGGACCTAATCCTGCAACTCCTCTGTATTTATTCCTCCTTCTGAAGTCACCAGGCGTCTATCATGTGAAGAGCTTGTAGTTAAGTTACATACATTTAGTGTTAAGGATCTGACGCCATCCTTATCACATTTCTTTGTGCTTTATTACTGTAAACTGTCCTGGATCCAGTAAGTATTGCAAAACCTTGGAACAACAATCTGGATTTAAATTGATAAGAGGATGAAGGAAAGTTTACCTATTTGAGTGTGATTTTTTTAATGCAACTCTGCCTTATTAAGATTTGTGTGTGTGTATTTAAATTGAATTATAGGAGTATTGAGTCTCCTCTGAAATATGTAATTAGTATTAGAAGATGAAAATATATGGTTACAAAATCCAAGCAGCTTGTTCTGCGCCACTATATTTCAATAGGAAAATGTACAGTACTATTTCTTTCAATACAAGCTGTGTGATACTGCTGCTGAAACTAAAATTCAGCATTCGGATTCAAATGAATTTTGCAGGAATAGGTTGAAAAACACTATCAGATCTTTTCTTGAAACAGAATATTCTGTTCCACAACTACAGTGAAATCACATCCTTATCTGAACATTTGCAGTAGTTGTAATACTGCTGGAGATTATTTCAGGGTATCAGGATCTTGCTAGTGTAGGACAAGATGACTTCCTAGAGGCGACTTCCAGGCCACGTGAAACAACGATTAGATAAAATGTTCGTGGTATGTAATGGGCTTGCATACTTGTGAATTATGGAAGGCTATTAATATTGATCTTTCACATTAAAAATATTACACAGAGTTAAAAAGGAAAAGAACCAGATTTTCTTTTCAGAGCCACCATCTAATAAAATCAGCTCCTGCATGGATGAACACATTAGATAATTTAACAACCTATATAATGAGATATGCACAACTCCAATTTATAAAGATGTTAAAATATATATGTTACTACAATGCTAGTGTGGAGTCAGTAATTCATTCTGAGTAGCAATCCCTTAAGAAGAAATGTCAAGATCTTTAAGATATAAAATCATTCTACCCAAAAGCATAGGTACTAGATAGGACTTTTAATCCAGCTGGTAGCTGTCCACATAGGGTATAAAATTCAGCAATTGTCATATGCTAACCTGAGCAGGTTCTGAGTGGGACAGTAAATAACTAACATTTCATGAAATTGGTGTGATATAATAAAAACAGAGAAACTGATACTCAGAACAAGGAATAAGGAAGCTTGCACTAAATGAACAACTCCAGTAGAAAGGGTTTGTATTTACGCATCAGGACTTCCTCATAAGCCATTCATTTCAACTTGGATTGCATCATCCTCTTTTCTTACCATCGTCTCCCAGCTGCTCTTGAACTTTGTCAAAGTCTGAACCACCTACAACTCCAACTCTCACCTTCTTCCGCAGCTTCTGCAGAAAATCTGCCATTTCTGCTGTGATTTTCTAGATTAAAAGAAGAGTTTACAATTTTTAGGTAGTCTAGGTACTTTTAGCATGAGTTACCAGTTGACCGTAAATACAAAAGTGCAGTGGGAGAAAGGTCACTGGGAACTAAATTGTGTAGGGCTTTAACAAACAATATGTGAGCTTTTTAAAAATGCCTTTGATAAAATCTTCCCTTAACGTAAAAATGCCTTAAATAACAAGGAAGCCACTATAGCATTTGGCTCACTAATGTACCTTGTTCCCTACTGCTAAAAAGTCAAAAAACTGCACTGGCTTCTGAGGTGTCTTCTAGGGCAGCCTCCACATAGACTGAACTAATCCCCCTCCTGCCCCCAGTTTGGAAGTCAGAGACATCAGTAAGCGTGGCACAACGTCCATATCAGAATAAATGGCTTACAATCATCACACTGAACTCATAGGTTAAAAAAATGGCGCTTATGAGCAATGCTGCTTCCTGAAACCAAGAAAAATTGAGAATCCAGGAGCTCCCTCCCCTAAACTGCAAGCCAACAACATACTATACACCCTCAATTCTCTCAAGATGGAACAGTAGGCATTTCCTTCAAATTACTGGCATTATCTCCATTTGTAATTCATTGAGCTTCAGTCAGCTCACTCTCATTCCAGCCAGCCAGCTATTATTTACTGGGACAAAGTTACTCCTAAAAACAGAACAAAAGACTGTAAATAATATTAAGGTACGCCATCATCTTAAATCTAATGAATTAAAAAAAACTGAGTTAAATTAGTTTCAGGCCAGACAACTGCCCACAAGCACCCTTGCCAAATTTTTGTGGCTTTATAAAAAATTTTTTTTTTTTAAGATGTCTCTTCTGTTACTGTGTGAAACACTCATGCAAAACAAAGGAAACAACAAAACTGGCTATATGCGAAGTACTGTCAAAGGTACAAAGTAAATAAACTGAAAAACAGTTGAAAATGTCATCCGCGTTTTCGATTATAGTTACACTGAATATACAAAATATTCAAAAGTAATATGATTTTTATTTTGAAGCGGTTACAATAAAATCTTGTTACAAAAAATCTCAGTTTGATATAAACTCAGTGCATATGACTATATAATTATTAATTTTCTAAACCTCGCATGCAGCTTGTTACTTTTAAATCAATAGAAAATAAATATTCCAGCCCTTTGGGAAAAAAACATGAACTGCACTTTTATTTATTTTTCTGAATCTCAAAGTGAGTTCTATTAATGTGTGTTCAACAAAATCCATCCTCCAGTGTAATATAATTAGTGCTAGCAGAGCGGTTTTGGAATAATTAAGGAAAGACGCTCCTGTGACAGTTAAACATTGGAGCTGACAACACAACATGCTTCTTAAAGCAGAATCCCAATACTGACACTGAACTCATCACATGTGGCAGCAATGGATACTTTAAGCTTGCTTTATATAACAACTCCTCTGCCACTCCGATCCTCAGTGTACTGGTTCCTATCCTTTCTGGACTATTGTACCAGTTTATCAGACAAAGGCCTCACGTGAACTAGTCAAGCAGTCTCCCATTTAGCAGTATGCACTATAATATCACGTGGTGCTTGTTTTAATCCATGTCTCCAGTCTCAAAAGTCACCTAAACTATTACCAAAAAATGACTGCAATCAGAATGGACAGGGCTCATCATTAAAAATAGCAACACAGAGTACTAGTCACAAAGCCCTAAGTTTCCGGGTGGCTACTCTTTCAGTTTGCACATGGGACAGAACTGGCGATCAGGATGTCACAGCAACAAATGATTTTTGTAGTGTAGTATGTATTTTCTAAATGGAAAACCAACCTAATTCTCAATTACTGGGGGACAATCCCCACTCATTGACGTATTTTGCTTTCCACAACCAAATCTCTGTACAACTTTTCATGAGTGATGTACCCAAGTATTCGAATTCTAATACCTAAACTGTATTGTTCAATCTATTCACCTAAATTTGGGTTATTGCGGATTATGTACTCTATCGATCATATGACTTTTAAAAAAATAACTTTGTATATGTGGCAAATCTAAGCACTACACCCAGATGTAGACACTCTTTTCCCAACCTAGGTTTATATAATTTTTTTTAACATTAGCTTTAATACAAATATTAAATCTATCACAATTGCAACTTGTGTGAATATTTTCAGCCAAAACCTATTTTTATTGAAGAATATAGATTTGGGTCAACTAAAAATTAATGCAAAGCCATGACAAATTTGCAGAACAGTTTCATACCAAAAAACTTTTAAAAAGAGTTTTGATTTTTTTGTATTTGAAATGAGTTTTGTTCTGAATTTTACGTCAGTTTTATTTTAAAAAGTTTTAAAAAGCTCTAAAACAGAATGAAATATTTAGTTTGACCCAAACTAATTTTTTTTAACATTTTGGTTAACTGAAAAGTTCAAAAAATGTTCATCCCATGTCAACCTGAAACTATTTTCCTCTCCAATTTTTCAGCATAGCCAGTTGAGTTGAGGGAGCAGGGAAATCAGTTATTTGCACAGCTCTAATCATAAGTCACTGTCACATGGTGTTGACAAGCCATAATACTAAAATGCAACATTCCCATCTTCCATCAACATGACAAACTCAGCATGAAAAGAACATGACTGTAACACAGGGTCCCCCTACTGGTGTAAAAGTGATGCAGGGAATGTTAGTACAGGAGGGAAATTGTAGGTGCCAGATCTTTGGTGGGACTGGAAACTGCTATTTTCTAGGTCTTTGATAGCAGGGCTTTGGAGCGGAGCTGGAGTGTGGAGCAGCTCCGGAGCAGTGGAGCTGCAGGTTTTTGCCTGGCGCTGGAGCTGAGCAGGAGCACAGCTCCAAAACCCTGTATAGTGTAACTCTCAGGGTTTGTCAATTGCATATGTTGGGAGTCAGAACTGACTGGTCCGAGACCGTATCACTGATGACCCCCCCCAAACCACATCTCTCACCCCAATAACCCACCCTATACCCTCCCCAAGCTCCTAGTCCAGCCAGAGACTCCCCTAATAATCAACTGCCCAGGTCCTTCTGCCCTGCAACTTCAGACTCTTCACCCCCCACAACTCATCCCTATACTCCATAACCTCCCATATGTCCCCCGTGTAACCCCACAGCCCCCCCCCACCCACCCACCTCCCCCACACCCCCATATCAGCCCCGCCCTATATCCCCCACAGCCCACCCCAACCCCATAACCTCCCACACGTTCCTCCATGTGACGCCCACCCCCTACCCTACACCCCCAGCCCACCCCAACCCCAACCCCTCCCATATGTGACCCCCCAGCCCACTCCAGACCCCTCTCCCTGTGACTCCCCCCAGGTCCGAAGCCCCAGGGACGCCCCCGCCGGCTCACCTGCCTGGGGGCGGTCAGGGTCCCGTCCACATCGAAGAGGCACAGGACGCTGCTGCCCGGCGCCGCCATACTGCGGATGAATGAGGTGGCTCAGACGGGAGCTGCACTCGCTTCCGGCTCTGCGCGACCCCGCCGCGGAGGATGCCGGGAACCCAAACAGCTCCACGAAAGGCGCCCGCAGGCCGCCACCCCCACGAGCCCGCTCACAGTGCCACGCGCCAGCCGCGACGTGGTTCCACAGGGCGCCGGCGCAGTAGAGCGACGGTAGCGGCGGCGCAGGCGCAGTGTGCGGTCGCGTATCCTTGACTCTCTCCGCGTCGAAATGGTAAGGGGCCGGGGGCTGGCGTTGGGGGATGCGGCCCGGTGCTCTCCTCGCTTGCGGTTCCGGCACGAGGCGCCGCCCGGGCCCAGCGCCCGCTCGCGGGGCACGGCCCTGGCGGGATTCGCAGCAGTGCTCGGCGCTGTACACGGCGCACAGCGGGACGGGCCCCGCCCCCCAGCGCTAATACTCCGCCTCTCAAGGTCCGGCCCCAGCAGCAGCTGGGCTGGGGAGAGGGGGGCAGGCCGCCCTAAACGGCGGGGGAGGGAAGGCGCGGTAGTAAAGTTTCCTCGGAGGGAAGCACATAGCACCTTGCCGGCAGACACGCCGGGGAGGTGGCGCTACCTAGCGCCTGGACAGCCCCGACAGGCATCATGACGTTTCACAGTGTGCTGGGGCCGGTGCTGGTCACCTTGCTGCCCTAAAGAGAGGATATGGGGCACTCCAGGGCCCTTCAGCCTGTATACACTGTGCATTCAGGTGCTTCTGATCAGATCTACACCTCTATAGCAAGTAATTTTGGCTCTTTTGTGCTCTGTAAACAGGCCTCAAATTGAAATCTGCACGACTAAGTTTCTCAACACAAACATGAGCTTCACCAATTCACTTAGAACAAGTTAGGAATGTAACTTCTATACACCGATTGTCCTCAAGCTGCTTGAGACAAATATTGTAATAACTGCAATTCTCTTGTAATGCCAGTATTGAAGGATTTAATGGTGTGGTATGGGAATGTTTTCTTTTAGGCTGGAATTTTCAAAATTCGGACTAGACTCCACTTGCTACCTTCCTTTGGGAGATCTCTACCAAGGGAGCTTTCAACAAGATTGTGGAAAAGAGAAGACACGTGCCTACCCCATTGCTTTGGGACCCATATGTTCTTACAACCACAGAGATGGCAACCTGACAGTACTAATTTTTATCCTGGGACAGGGCTGGCACCGTACAGATGTACTGGCAGCTTAGCCCCCACCAACAGAGTCTTGGACAAGTCGATGATTGAGAATAAAGAACAGTTCAAACTGGTCTACAAGTTTCCAGGAATTAAATATTGTAGAATATTTTCAAGAATGAAGTTGCTACAGACTGCTATAACCATAGTCATCCTCCCGCCTGTCTATCACCTCTATCTGCAGGAACAAGTTTCTCAGGCTTTTGTGTTGTATGTCACTGGCATTGCTTGCTTTGCTGCTTCAATGCTGTATGGTATAAGTTATTTTCTCAGACGAATGATTGGACTGATTTACTTAAATGAAGCTGGCACCATGGTAAAAGTGGCACACTTGACATTTTGGGGAAGAAAGAAAGAAATTTATTGTCCAGTTGAAAGTGTGATGACCTTGGATGACACTGGAGATGCCAAGAATGAAGTTCTGCTCCAGTTTAAACAGCATAATAGTACACAGGTTTTATATTTTACTCTAACATTTGGCCATATTGTGGATAAACAGAGGTTTGCCCAAATATTTGGAGTATTTTAGTAACTCATTAGATGCAATGACCAACATTTTCCAAGAGTCTAGCTTGTTTAATGTTTTCTATTGCTCTTCATGCTGAATTCATCACATCCATAGCTTAATAGATTTGTAAGCACTCAAATACAAAACCTCTATGAGCAAATATGCAAACCTGTGTTTGGATAAAGGGGATACAGTGATGTAGCAACCCACTAGATAGATGTTCCTGTACAACTAGTTTCAGATGAAAGCGGAATCTTATCCTACACACAACCATCATGTAAAGAAATATAGTTTAATACTCATGTCTGATGGTAACTTACACAGTTGAAATCTTAATTGTTTCACCTTAATGTACAGTTGCAGTTGAGCATGGTGGTGGTAGTGGTGGTTTTTTTGTGTGGCTCTCTCAGCTTGGCTTTCAGACTGTAGGATGGCAGTTAAAAAATACTTATTGGTAAAACTGAGCAAATATAATTTGCGATCATAGATACAACCGTAGCAGCCCACAGTGCCATTTTTAGTCTCTTGTGAGACTGCACTTCCAATTTATATCAAATTTTGATCAGGAAAGTCTTAATTATTTATATTAACATGAAATATTAGTAAGTTATTAAAACGGTATCCTGGTACAAGGATTTGCAAAAATATTGTCATGGGGATGTGGTGGAATTGCTTGCTCAGTCCCTTGTCTTCTGGGCTGGCACCAACTGGGAAGTGTGCCACTCACTTTTTTCTTTAACAGTTCTTCTGTCAGATCAAAACGTGTTAATAGGATCCTGAGTGAACTTTGGCCATTGTTCATCTGTGGCTTGTGGGTTCAGTGCTTGGATGATCTTCACAAGGCTCTAAGCCTTGCTTGGAGAAAAATATGTTGCAAGAGAATATCTACTTCAACTATGTGAAAGCAAATAAAGTAGCTGAACAGTGTCTCAAGAGCCATAGTAAAGCATTTTAACTTGTGTACACAGTGAAAAGGATCAAAAATTCTGAAGAGAAGTATCTTACAGTAGTACTATTTACAGACACATTGAGGTCTCTGTTCAAGTTTAAAAAACGTTTTCTTACCCTGGTCTATAGACAATATCTTAGGTTATTAAAACAGAATTTTAAGCATTTATTTTTCAGTGCTTATGCTCTGTTGGGATTTTCTTTTTCAATTTAACCAATTGAAACGGTCAATTTCATTTTCTTAGGCGTAGCATCGTAATATGTGGGTTGCAAAAACAGCAGGGAAATGGTTATTTTTAAAAGATTTACATTAGAACAAAGAATCATGGAAATTTTTGAATTGGGCTGAGATTTTATAAAAAGTGTGTGCATGCACAGCTTCATTTCATCACTGGTTGGGATCTTTCAACAGCAACAGTGCCCATACAGGAGCTAAATGGCACATCAGTTCAAAATATCCTTTCACTGACTGGACTACAGTTAGAATAAATTTGCTTTTTTGCTGTGTACTGTACTTATCACAAATTAAAAAACCCAAAGTTGTACTGTATAAAGTTTTAACAGACTCCAGTTGTGTTGCTTACTGATATAGAATGACAGATAATTAAGCAGATTTATACAGCACAGTATGTATTTTAATAAAAATGTAATGGCTACCTTTATTACTATCATGTGAAAAATTACAAGTGTTAACACAAGCAACCATATGGTATAGTGGGAGTTGTTTAATTAAAGCTGCACAACTTCACATAGCATGAAAGTTCACAGGAGTAAATCTTGCCCAATGCCTCTCCAGATATGGAATGCCCTGGTTACAGAAGCAGTATCTGTGACGGGTTGGATCACAGAAACCCCCTTGGGAGCTGCCACCCGATGTGCAAAGACTACCCCTGCTTCTGTTTTCCCTGCCAGCTCAGGACTCCAGCACCTTGTCTTGCTGAGCCGGACCCTCCCGTCTGGCTCCAACACAGACCCAGGGTCTGAATCACTTGCCCCAAAGCTGCAAGTTTACCTGAAAACAGCTCACAGAAGTGTGCTTGTCTTTAGCACTCAGATGCCCAACTCCCAATGGGGTCTAAACCCAAATAAATCCGTTTTACCCAGCATAAAGCTTATGCAGAGTAAACTCATAAATTGTTCGCCCTCTATAACACTGATAGAGAGATATGCACAGTTGTTTGCTCCCCCAGGTATTAATACATACTCTAATAAAATCACTTTTTATTTAGTAATTTACTCAAATACAGACAGTAGGATTTAAGTGGTTCCAAGTAGTAACAGACAGAACAAAGTAAGTCACAAGCAAAATAAAATAAAATGCGCAAATCTATGCCTAATCAAACTAAATACAGATAATCTCACCCTCAGAGATGCTTCAGTAAGCTTTTTCTCAGACTGGACACCTTCCAGGCCTGGGCACAATTCTTTCCCCTGGTACAGCTCTTGTTCCAGCTCAGGTGGTAGCTAGGGGATTCTTCATGATGGCTCCTCTCTCCCTCTCTGTTCTCTTCCACCCCTTTATATATCTTTTGCATAAGGCGGGAACCCTTTGTCCCTCTGGGTTTCCACCCCCCCTCACTGGAAAAGCACCAGGTTAAAGATGGATTCCAGTTCAGGTGACATGATCACATGTCACTGCAAGACTTCATTACTCACTTGCCAGCACACACACATACAGGAAGACTCACAGGTAAAACACAGCCATCTGCGGATAATGGTCCTTGTTAATGGGAGTCATCAAGATTCCAAACCATCATTAATGGCCCACACTTTACATAATTACAATAGGCCCTCGGAGTTACATTTTATATTTCTAGTTTTAGATACAAGAGTGGTACATTTATATAAATCAGATGATCATACTCAGTAGATTATAAGCTTTGTAATGATACCTTACAAGAGACCTTTTGCATGAAGCATATCCCAGTTATGTTATATTCACTTATTACCATATTTTTCTAAAACTATCCCAGTTACATTATATTGACTTATTATCAAGTTTTTATAAAACTATATAGACTGCACAATGTCACAGTATGTGTGTTTGTGTTGGCTTTTGGCAGTCTCACAGAGGGCATATAAAGTCCCATCCCCCACCCCTGCAACTACTTGCACAGCTATGCGCACCTGGGGAGGCTGGAAGAACCACTATTCAAATCCTCTACTTTCCCCCCTACCAACTGAGGACAGCAGCTTTACTGCTCCATGGCCTTGGGTGGGGAATAGTCCTTACCAGCCAGCTGGAAATCAGGAGCAAGATTTATTCCATAATGAGAAGCAGGCCTGTACATGGAGAAAACATGGACTCAGGGCAACCCAGGGTGGGGCAAAAGGGGCAGTTTGCCCAGGAGCCCTTTTTGAGAGGGCCCCCAAACCTAGTGGCATTGCAAGCTGATGTATCATGTTGCAACATCACTCACTGAAATTTGGCCCAGTGAGCCTTACCCTGGGGTGAGTGTGGGGCAGGCTCACCAACCCCCACCCCTCACTGGTAATCTTTTTGGAAGGGTGGGGAGCCTCCGTTTTAGATTTTGCCCAGGCCCTCAAAACCCTCTGTGTGGCCCTGTATGGACTTTACACCTGTAATAAATTTCATTATATATTAATGAAGAGCCTAATCCTGAGAGGGGCAAAGCACTGCAATTTTCTCCTTTTCACATTAAAAGAACTGAATTAGTAAAGGGAGAGGATGGCTGGTGGGATAAGATAGATTACTCTGTACAAAAACACTTGAAATTGACCAAATAAAGTACTACATGAAGTCGTGGTCTTAGAAGCACAAAGTATCCTTATCTAAGCCTACCCTGTCAGATAAGAGCAATTACAGAGCAGCTGCCAAAGGAGGTCACTAAGGCATCATAAATGGAAATGTTCAAGAAGAACATAGGTGATCACATGCATTAGCTTAGCATTCATTCCACCTTTAACATCTTTGGAGGTTCCATTTCTCATTACATAGCTGCTCTTGATTATTCTGGTATTACTGGTTTCTGTGACAGATTTACAATTCACTGTCAAATGTTTTGCCTAAAGTCAAATAATTCCTAAAAACGTACTGCACGTTAGTGCAAAATCCTCTCTGCTGCACTGGTATGCAAGAGAGTGGAGGAAGAAAGATAAGGATTAGGGAACAAGCTGCAAGGCAGGATCTTATGAGTGCTAGGATAAAAGGCCAGCCAATGTGAGATTGCCATGTCCCTAAGGATATGTCTGCACTTTGAGCTGGGGTTTGATTCCCAGCTTGAGAAGGCATCTCTGTACTAGCTATGATTGAGCTAGCACACTAAGGGCTTGTCTACACTGGCAATTTACAGCGCTGCAACTTTCTCGCTTGGGTGTGAAAAAAACACCCCCCCCGAGCGCAGCAAGTTTCAGTGCTGTCAAGTGCCAGTGTAGACCGCGCTGTGAGCTATGCCCCTCATGGAAGTGGTTTCTTTAGAGTTCTGGGAGCACTTTAGAGCGCTCTGCCGCAACCACACAAGTCTCGTTAAAGCGCTGCCATGGCAGCACTTTAGTGTTGCCAATGTAGACTAGCCCTAAAAATAGAACATAGCCACGGAGGCACAAGGGGCGGGGAAGGGCTAGCCATGCCAAGTACCAACCTGTCTAAGATGCTAGGCACATACTTGGGGTGGCTACCGCCTCCTGCTGCCACAGCTACATTTAGTGCAGTAGTTAGATCAGAGCTAGCACAGTTATGTCTCCTCAAGATGGGACTTATACTCCCAGTTTGAAGTGTTAGACATACCTTAAGGGATGGAGATGTAACCCTACCCCACTCTATCAAATGGATTACATGCTGCAGTCACAGCAGCATGATGTGCACAAAGTGCACTTTGCTTCTGCTTGTAGGAGCGACAAAGAGCATTTCCCAGGGCACCTTCAAACCTGTCCTGTGAAATCCTGCTATAACTGGATAAAGTTCATAGTAGGACTTTGCAGGGAGTATGTCTGCTCCCTCCACTCTGCTGAACCGGGCAGGATTTGCTCACTGATGTACTGTGAACCTTAAGGTCTGAAGGTGGGGATGAATTGTGTCTACAGTAGAGAAATGGGAGTTTGGAGTAAAATGTTCTAATCCCAGTTATCACCGACTCACTGTGTGAATGCTGACTGATATTTAAACTCTAGGTCTCAGTATCCCCATCTATGAAATGGATAATTTCTTAGATTTTTTTTTTTAAAATGCATCCTCAACACCCGTAAGTACATCTACCTTGCTGGCGTGTTGTGAGACTTAATCAACTGATGTTGAGAAAACTACTGATTCAGAGAATGAAACGATAGTCATCTGGAAGGGGCTCACTCAGCGCTGAGTATAAATCAAAGACCTGTACGTGAAAAGTCTGCTGGATTGTAACATTAACATTTCTATCACAAATACAAGAAAAACTTAC